CCCGCGTTCGTGAGGCTTGCGAACAGTTGTTCCATCCGGAAAAGATGGCCTTCCATGTCCCGTCGTCGTTGTACTCTGCTTTGCACAGCTTTTCCAGGTACGAGACATCGTCGTCTTCTGGTAATGCTTCTTCAACTCGTTCCAGGTCTCCATGGCGGTCTTGCAGTTCCGGATCAGCGGGTGCTGACTGTCGTCTACGGGCAAAACGATGGTGGCCCGTACTTTGGCATCTCCTTCTTTCCACGCGATCGTTAGAGGTTCAGGGGCGGCCTCCGTAACGTGCTTCCAGAGATTTTCTCTTACCAACAGCATTTCCACCTTGAATTGCCAACATTCGTATGCGCCACTCTTCAGCTTTTCCAGACCAAACTTGCTCCCGTCCATATCGGGAACGTGAAAAAATCGTGATTAATTATACGGTGGAAAAAATTTCGCTTGAACAGCTTCTTGAATTTTCTTCACAAAGGCCCATAACCTATGGAAATATGCCGTAGGTCGGACCCAAGAATGAAATGAATTTGTTGCATCGACGGTCAAGAACAGAATGAAAATTTTATTGAAACCAATTAACCACGCTCTTAGCAACTAATTCATGGATTGCTGGAGTCTTCAGTCGCTTCATCTTCAACAAGAAAAGCGGAATCTAGTGAAGAAGATTTCGTTTTCAGCGCTCAGGAAGGACCAGTGGTAAGGTGGATCGTAGATTCTAGAGCCAGTTCCCACATGTGCGCCAATCGGGATTTTTTCGTATCCGTTGAGAAACCGCTGCTGGATGTTATCCCAAGTTACGTAATGGTTGCTGACGGGAAGAAGGCAATCGTCAAAGGTGTGGGGGACTGCCAGATCCATTGCTACGGGTAAGACAGCGAAGCGAAACAGATCAAGCTCACCGTAGTACAATCCAGATCTGGACATGAATCTCGTTTCCGTCCAGCGGTGGAGTTTAACGATTGTCAAGGGTACATAGATTGCGACTGTGGCAAAGGGTAGCAGCAACGGTCTCTACCTACATGCAAGTGGTGGAACGCTTGGGTGCAGTAAATGAACATTGCCATGAGAAGAACGGTTTGCATGACTGGTCATCAAGGTCAAACACTGCGGTTTGGTTTTGCCATGTGAGACTTCTTTGCAGGGAAAGATGGCACGACTGCCATTTCCAAAGCAAGCAAAGAAGAAGACACACAGAAGAGTACACAGTGACCTGTGTGGATCAATGAGGACGGTGACACCGGGTGGTCGTCGATATTTTCTGACGGTTATTGACGACCAGAGTATCTATTGCAAGAAAAATCGGAAACATTCGACACTATCCTAGACTACGTGCAGAAAATGAAGACACAATTAGGCAGACCGCCGAAAATACTGCGATCCGACCAGGAAGGCGAATATCGTGGCTCAAAGATAATGGTGTTCCTCAAGCGTGAACGGTGTCACGGAACGGAAGAACCATTCACTAATGGATATGGCCAGGTGCATGCTTTTGGAAGCAGGTATGCACAATCGCTACTGGGGAGAAGCAATCAGTTGCCGACGAAAGCGATTAATCAAACTCCCTACGAGATTTGGCATGGGGTCAAACCGGATGTTTCGAATCTGCAAGTGTTCGGAACGTCAGCATATGCATTCGTTCCTGATGTTAAGCTATCGAAGCTGGAAGTCAAAGCTTGTCGCAACACAAAGCATGGCGTTTCATCAACATGAAGATGAACAAGGTAACGATTAGCCGAGATGCCGGTGAACAACAATGCGGAATCTTCCACAGAGGACGAAGGTATGTTATTCTTTCCGTTATCGCTATTTAACCACCATCGTAGCGAGACGGATACACTGGGGGAACTGAGGTAGCCTGAACCAGCTATCGTTGAGGAAGATTTCCACGGTTTTGAAGATCAATTCGGATGACAGTCTGTACGAAGATGCCGACGAAGCAGAATCGCTCGATGAAGGTGAGACACAGGAGGAGCTGGTACCAATCCACGAAGAACAAGGAGTAGGTACACCGCGAAAATCAACCAGGATGACGAAAGGGTATTCCACCTCAACGCTGCTGTGCCAACAGTAGGCTTGCACATCACGACAATCAAGTAGTCCGGAGAAGGTTTGTGGAAGCAGGCCATGCAGGAAGAATTGCAATCGATGTACGAGAGTTGACGACCTTGCCGGCTGGTAAGAAAACCATTGGATGTCTCTGGATTTTCAACAATAATACGGACGAGAATGGAACGGTTATCCGACACAAGGCGCGGCTAATCACGCAAGGCTTCACGCAGAAATATGAAGTCGACTACGATGAAGTTGATGCTCCCGTGGGCAAGTAACGTTCCGAGCACTATTCTCCGTCGCCTGCCGCAGTCTACATGCGACTGCCTCCCGGATGCACAGCGGATGGAGAAAACGTCGTCTGTTGTTTTCGCAAAGGATTATACGGGCTGAAGCAAGCCACCACAAATTGGACAAAACTCCCAAGCAAATGGGGTTCAAGCCGTCCAAGAACGATTGTTCAGGCAGAACAAAGGTAAGATCGCCTACATTGCTGTATACGTTGACGATTTCGTTATAGAATGCGAGACTGAAAATGACTGCAAGGCAAGAGGTAATTACCCCTTAAGTCACTCAGCACAGTGTGCAGAAAGTAGATTCGGCACTGCTGTACAGCTGTCATTGAAGTTGTTCACAACATTACGTGCTGTTTGACTGTGTATTTCAGAAACATACTCTAATTGAATATACTAGAGGAACTCACTTCTCGGTTCACATTTAAATTCGAAATGTAGGCTTCCGAGGGCTGTCGATTACTATCGATGCCGGTCACAAGTCTTTCAGCTACTACGCAAATGGAGTGTACTACGAACCGGAATGCAAGAGCAATTTGGATGGATTGGATCATCTGATCAACTGTGGCCTTACCACCGATGCGACGTATGTAAATTTGACGTGAGATTTCGGTTTAAATTTGAATTAAGTAAAAGAGTAGTTTTATTTTCGGATATGTGTCATCTTATACGAGATAAAATAAATGGTTTTCGATTTTTGTAATAAAAATAAAAGTTAATTAGGTTGAGCGTAAGCATTAAAAACTCCTTGTGATTGTGCCGTGAAAAGTAGTCGGTCAATTGGCCGTCTACCAAACCAAACTCATTTGAACAATACCGAACTAATTTTCACGGCACAATCACACGGAATTTTTATTGCTTCTACTCAATCTAATTAACTGACAATTTTTTAACTGAATTTCACTTGTTGAGGTACTGCGATCGAATTCTCCCGGAACTCCAACCCGATGGTTTAACCGAACGTCTTAGATTGAGATACTTCTTCTTGGCATAAACCATTCCGACGTGGAAAACTTCCGAGAGCTTCTTGTCCGAAATCATCACCTTTTCAAAATTGCCCTTGTCTTTGTCGTTCTTTTCAACAGCTTCACCGACGGAAATCAAACTTCTTCTTACTGGTCAGGAAAAAGATTGACTTTTTGCACAGCACCGTAATCGTATCGATCAGCAGCAGCCAGGTCTTCAGCGAGGTAGATTTGCTGTAGATGGTTTCCTCGTCTACGCCGACCGCCGTCAGATTACAATCCACCTTCTGCAGCGAATCATCATGGGAAAACTCTGATTCCTTCCAGCTGGCGTAGAGGCGTTTTATTCGTCGGTAGAAGAAATCCTTATCGAGCACGATATTCGACATTTTCGGGGCCGTTGCGATTGCAAACCTAAACATTCAAGCTGTCAGAAATACTGGGTTGCCAAATATACCATACTATTTTTTGAAAAATCACAGCTTGCTCTATGCCCGGCACAATCAGCAAACCAGCGGCGTACTGAGAAAAATGTTGACCCAAAATTAGTGTGCGGAGTGACCTACTCCTTGCTACAAGGTCATCTTTAATGAGCTGAACCAGCATTTTACGCTGACATCATTTGGGGATGTCAAGCACTTCCTTGGTATCCAGGTCTTCCATTCCGAGAAGCATGTTGCACTGAGTCAGAGAGCCTACATCCAAAAGCTTCTGATCAGATTCGGTTTGGAAAACGCGAAGCCCTCCGCAAGTCCATTGGACCCTGGCCACCTACAAGGAGAAGATCTCGCTGCTCAATAACCAATAGTATGCCAGCTTGATTGGTGGGTTGTTGTACGTGGCCATGTGTACTCGACCTGATGTTGCAGCAGCTGTTTCGATCCTGACGAGGAAAACAAGTTGCTTGTCGCTGGCTGATTGGATGGAGGTGAAGCGTATCCTGAGGTACCTGAAAGGAACCATCGACCACGAACTAATCCTAAGAGACGATTCCACGCAATTGGAGCTGTTCGTAGATGCCGACTGGGTCGGTGACACCAGATATCGCAAGTCAACCATCGGCTAATTGATCCGGTTCGCAGGCGTTAAGATCGGATGGTGTTCCAGGAAACAAGATTGCGTAACTTTGAGCAGTTGGGACGCCGAGTACGTTTCTATATCGTCGAAGAGGAATATTGGAGGTGTGGTAGTAGATCCAGACTACGGCCATATCACATACATTATTTTATCACTTCTGTTTAGGTTTGCCGTGTCGTTCTCATAATTCATCAAAGTCTCAGACATCTTTTACGGTTCATTAAAAAATCGAACACTACTAGGACAAACGCGATCGCTCTGAATGAATCTTTTTGCCGATGGGACGCAGAATTGTTTTTAAAAACGAGATCTAGCCCAAGTAACAATTTCGGTTTTATAAGGGTTCTGTAGACCATGATTTAGACTTGTAGCATGCTTTAAAACCTCAATAAAACTTGCAATGTTACTTCAGACTACTGTAAAGATCTGTAATTTTGAATTTTGCGGCAGGTTCGATGACATACAAGCTTCAGAAAACAGTTATGTGAAGAGAGGGAAGCCAAAGTAGTTCTGAAAATTTAACTGAAGTCCACAGATGTAATTACCTACGCTACCATGTAGATCCGCTCGACCTAGAATAGAAAACCAATTAACCATCCTTCCAATGCCTTTATTTCTCCCGCAGACAAAGACCTGGCGCGCGAGATAAACGATCTGCGCATGAAACCGGACGACTTCATCCCGATCAAGCTCATCGGCCGGGGTTCGTTCGGCGAGGTTCAACTGGTGCGTCACAAGTCATCCAAACAGGTCTACGCCATGAAGCGCCTATCCAAGTACGAAATGATAACCCGCTCGGATACGGCCTTCTTCTGGGAGGAACGCTACATCATGGCGCATGCCAATTCCGAGTGGATCGTCCAGCTGCACTACGCCTTCCAGGACAATAAGTACCTGTACATGGTGATGGACTACATGCCGGGAGGGGACATTGTCAGTTTGATGAACATCTACGAAATACCGGAAAAGTGGGCCATTTTCTACACTATGGAGGTGGTTTTGGCCCTGGACACCATTCACAACATGGGATTCATCCATCGGGATGTGAAGCCGGACAATATGCTGCTGGACAAGTACGGGCACTTGAAGTTGGCAGATTTTGGCACGTGCATGCGAATGGGACCGGACGGGTTGGTTCGATCGTCAAACGCCGTCGGGACGCCCGATTACATCAGTCCGGAAGTGCTGCAATTCCAGGGTGCTCAGGGTTACGGGCGGGAATGCGACTGGTGGTCGGTGGGCATTTTCCTGTACGAGATTTTGGTAGGCGATACACCGTTCTATTCGGACAGCTTGGTCGGTACTTATGGGAAGATTATGGATCATAAGAACTCCCTACACTTTCCGGAGGATGCACCGATCAGTGAGAATGCAAAGTCCTTGATCAAAAGATTTCTGACCGATCGAACGCAGCGGTTAGGCCGGAACAGTGTGGACGAAATCAAGTGTCATCCGTTCTTCCAGAATGACGTGTGGACGTTTGAGAACCTGCGGGAGTCTGTGCCTCCGGTAGTGCCGGAGCTGAGTAGTGACGATGATACTCGAAATTTTGACGAAATTGAGAAGAAGAACAGTGTGGAAGCAAACTTCCCCACACCGACCACGTTCTCCGGAGATCATTTGCCATTTGTTGGGTTTACCTATACGGGCGATTACCAACTACTGAGTGGAAGTTCCCAGGACAATGTGGACAACAAAGCCACAGCAATGAATTCATCACATCGGAACCACCACCGGCATCGATCGTCCAACAATGCCGAGCTCTTGCGGATGGAGAATATGCTTCAGAGGGAACGTAATACAATCGAAATGCTGGAGAAGCAGGAACGAACACTCCGACAGCAGATCGAGTTGATCACTCAAAGGGAGACGGACATTCAAAATTTGGCCAATACTTACGAAAAGGAACTTACGATGTTGAAGCACAACTTCCGGGAGATGCAACGTAAGGCGGACAGTGAGCAGGAAACACGAAGAAAGATGGAGAACCTGCTGCTGGAGACGAAACAGCGGCTGGAAGAGGAGAAGAGCAAACGGGCCCGGGAGATGAATAACAATCAGCAGTACAACGATAAGATCAACATGCTGGAAAAGCAGCTGATGGATATCCAGGAGAAGTACAAGAACGAAACGGAAAACAGTCAGAAGATGAAGAAGCAACTGGCCGAGCTGAGGTTGTCCAAATCGGATGTCGAACAGAAGGCAAACGATCTGCAGTCGATGTTGGCCGGGTTGCAAACTGCCCGGGACGTCCTGCAGCAGGAGGTGGCTGATCTTCAGACCCGTTTAGCTCAGGAACGGAACGCGCGTATTCAAATGACCGAGCTGCAGAAGGAGCTGGAAGGAAAGATTCACTCGTTGGCCGGAGATTTGGAGCGATCGGTTACGAGGGAACAGCAAGCGATGGAGGACAACCGGAGTCTATCGGACAAAATCTCGGAACTGGAGAAGGAGATTGCTTCGATCGAGTGCGAACTGAAAGCGGTCCAAAGCCGGTACCATCAGGAAGTGAAGGCACACCAGGAGACGGAAAAGTCCCGCCAACTGAACAACGAAGAGGCTAACATGCAGGAGGTTAAGGGTAAGGTGACCGCTAGGTTAGTGGGATTGGCGGGTCAAACTAATATGAATCGATTTGTCTTTGCAGCACTTCAAACCAAACTGAACGAGGAGAAGGTCGCCCGGCAGAAGGCCGAGCAGAACTCCCAGGAAAAGGAACGTCAGATTTCTATGCTCTCCGTGGACTATCGGCAGATTCAGCAGCGGTTACAGAAGCTCGAGGGCGAATACCGACAGGTAATGGGTGTCCAAATAATTCCACTCATTTTAGCATATAATAATAGCGAATTCGTTTTTTTTTATCGGGGTTGGAACCAGTAAACGAACTTCTTTTTGTCAGTGTGAACCTCAACCTGAGGTATGCTTTAACAAGAAACGATCTAGAATAAACGAATTCGCTATAAGTGTGTCAATTTAAGGGACTTCATTCAATTTCCTCTGCAAGTTTTCTGAAGTATTTCTTAATCGTCTTTGAAGTTCTACTCAAGTTAGACCTGATGAGCTTCCGCGATCTTTTCCTGCAATTTTCTCTAAATGCTCCCTTGACTATTGTCTCAAAATTTAGACTAGACTATTTCTAAGATTTACACAAACATTTACCAAGGAACTTTCAACCTTCCGCTGAATAATCCAGTTTAGCAAAGCCGTAAGTCCTGGAAAATCTCCTACATGTCTCTCTATTTCCCACAGGAATCGGAGAAGGTCCTAGCCCTGCACAGCCAGCTGGAACAGGAGCAGTGCAAAAAGAGCAATCTGCTGTCGGAACTTAGCCTGCAGAGCTCGGAGGTGGCCCACCTGAAAGCCAAGGAGACGCAACTGGTCAAGGAGGTGCAACAGTCGCGGGAGACGAAACGAAAGTTCGAAGAGGACATCGTCAAAATCAAAAATGCTCATAATGTGGATATTCTACAGGTAGGCTACAAACAGCTTCTGTTTGAGCGCAGTTTCGGTAGTATTCATGTGTTGTCTTATTCTAGATGAAGGAACTCCAAGATCAACTGGAAGCAGAGCAGTACTTCTCGCGACTGTACAAAACTCAAAGCAACGAAGTGCGTGAGGAGTTGGAGGAGAAGACCCGACAGATTCAGGATCTGGAAGAGGAGCGAACGTCCGTCCTGCATCAGTTGCAGCTGGCGATAGCCCGGGCCGATTCGGAAGCTCTCGCGCGTTCGATTGCCGAGGAAACGGTAGCCGATCTGGAGAAAGACAAGACGATGAAGGAGTTGGAAATGAAGGATCTAATCACCAAGCATCGCAACGACCTTGCAACCAAAGAAGCGGCACTAACGTCACTTAAGGATCTGGAAACAGAAATGAACAAAAAGCTGAACAACAAAGCATTCGAGCTGGACGATCTTACGCAGCAGAATCGAAAAATGCAGGACGAGCTCAGCCATCTGAAGAGCGAGCAGAGCGAAATGGAGAAGCTACGCACAAAACTCAAGACTGAGACCATGCTGAAGCAGCAAGCCGTCAACAAGCTGGCCGAAATCATGAACCGAAAGGATAACAACCTTACCGGCAAGCAGAAGAGCAAGGTCAACTCGACGGCCGATTTGCGGAAGAAGGAGAAGGAGAACAAACGGCTGCAGCAGGAACTGTCGGTGGAACGGGCCAAGTACGACGAGCTGTGTCTGAAGCACAACGAAACGATCAGTCAATTATCAAGGGAAATTGATGTAAGTATTTGTTGGGTGGTAGAATGCTGCGAGTCCGGTAAGTCTAACACGTCTTTTTCAGATCAAAACCAAGCTTCAGATGGAGATCGAGTGCAAGGCGACGGAAATCGAACACCTGCAGATGAAGCTGAACGAGACGGCGTCGCTCTCGTCGGCCGACAACGACACCATTGAGGACAACCAGGATGCCATGTTCGAGGGTTGGTTGAGCGTACCGAACAAGCAGAACATCAAGCGGTACGGTTGGAAGAAGCAGTTTGTGGTGGTATCTCCCAAGCGGATCATCTTCTACAGTTCCGAGGTGGACAAGCAGAACACGAGTGATCCATTGCTTATCATAGACCTAAGGTTCGTGCTAAACTTCGTTGGGTTCGGATTCGGTTTAATCATAGCTCTGTCCTCCCACAGCAAAGTGTTCCACGTGAGGCCCGTTACGCAAGGTGACGTCATCCGGGCGGATCCCAAAGAAATTCCCCGCATCTTCCAGCTGTTGTACGCCGGCGAGGGAGAAGCGAGGAGACCCGACGAGCAACAGCAACTGGACGTGAGCTCGTCGAAGGCGGACGAACGGCCGCTGACGCTACAATACAAAGGTTTGTTCTTGTGAACCACTTGTATTTAAGTCACAATGGATTTCGTCGATTGATTCAACAAAGCAAATCTAACCTCTGTTTGTCTTTCGGTTAATTTCACAGGTCACGAGTTTCTGCAGATTAGTTACCATATACCAACTACGTGTGATCTACCATCTTGCCAGAAAGCCCTTTGGCATGTGTTTAAATCCTTACCCGCCTACGAATGCAAAAGGTACATTTAGCCAAGACGATTTGTTTACAGCGTTAAACTCAAATGTCCCCTAACTCATTCCACAGATGTCGCTTCAAGCTGCACAAAGAGCACGTGGACAATAACAATCCACTGGCACCATGCAAGCTGCATCATGACCCTAATCATGCCCGCGAGATGCTTCTGTTGGCCACGTCCAACGAAGACCAAGCCCGGTGGGTGTGTCGACTCTCGAAGCGTATCCAGAAAAGTGGATACAAGGCCAATTCGACCAACAACCTGCAGCAGGGTGGCAGCACCGGTAGCAGTAGCAGTGGCAACGGAGATGGCAGTAAGATTAGTCCAAGGTGAGTGGGGAACTCGATATTCGTGTCCGCCTAATTCATTATCATTCGTTCACACACATATGGTCCAGGATCGGTGGGTGCCTAAATTCCATCATCCATCCCATTTTTTCTCGCTCACTAAACAATCCGTCCATTTTTCTTCTGTTTCGTTCGCCGACACAGTCAATCGACCCGTTCCAATTACAAGCCGTACGCTGTGAATGTGCAACGGTCAGCTACTCTACCGGCGAACGCATCGCTAAAGCAGCAACAATAGAGAGGGGGATCTTCCATCACTGTTAATAAATACTTCTACTACCAACCTACCTAACTCTCCAAACTTCTACACTTACACATGGTTTAGATAAAACGTTTTTAACAATTACAATTGTTTCACTGCTGTTACTAGACTAGGCCTGTGTAATCACCAATTTGATAGACAACCAAATGCTCACGACAAACGAAATGCTACATCTGCAACTTACCTAGCTCAATCGCCTTCATCAAGTAAAACAAATCAAAACTAACTGACTCCTGTCGTCATGCGTAAGATAATTGAGCAATATTTGCAGCAACAATAAAAACAAACGTGAAACTAACACCAATTTTGTAGAGTGAAACAGTCACATAGGTACATACATTCAAACACACACACACAAACACATACGAGTCAGTAGAGCACGCGCATTTATTTAGCAGCAGAAAAAAAAATCTAAAGTGAATAACGCTAATAGGCTATTTTTAATAATTTATAACCTGTCGTTTAAGTTAAGCTAGAAACGGGGAATATAACGCGATTTTGTTTTTAAAATTTAACGTCGTTGAACTTGTTGAATACATTCAGAATTGAAGATTCATTTAGTTGACTCGAATTTTTTTTTTGAAAGCTCCAAGCAGCCGAGGACTGAAATTACACAGAAAGCACTTGTCTTTAAGGCCATCGTGTTCGGAATGGTCTTCACCCTCCGATGAAGGGAATTTAAAGCCTCAATTTCGGAGGTTCTCCTGAAGCAATCTCTTTTGTCCGGTCTGTACATTGCTTAAAAGTTTTTCAAATTTCTCGAGAAAATCATTAAAACTTCACTTAGAAAACCTTCGAGCCTTCCCCTTGAAGTCCTTCAAGATTTTCTGAGAATTCTCTGAACTTCACATAGAACACTTTCGAACTTCCAACTTCGAGCAGTCTTCGAATTATTTCCTGAAAAATATTCTGACTTCACTTTGAATACCTTCGGCTTGATTTTTTCCTGGAAGTCACCTGAATTTTCCCGTAAAAGCCCTCCAAATATTTCTATGCAATAAATCCTCTGAACTTTATTTAGTATCGCTTTGAACGTAGGAGAATAAGTTCTCCACATTTACTTGAAAACTCCTCCAAATTGCTATAGAAAGTCCTTTGAATATGACTTCTCCTAGAAGTTCAAATTCTCCGCGTCTTCTTGGGCAATGCTCTGAACTTCACTAAGAATTCCTTCAATTTCTCGAACATGCCTAGATGGCGTCCAAATTTCCCTCAATATCGCCTAAACATGCCTTAGCAGCTTTTCAAATTTGCATAGAAGTTTCTCAGAACTTCACTTAGAACATCTTTGAGCTTCTCGTGGAAGTCCTCAAAATTTATCTGGAAAGACCTTCAATTTTCTTTTGAGGGAAGCCTCTGAACTTAAATTTACAGAACAGAACATCGTTGACTCGATTATTTTCCTAGAAACCATTTGTTCTTCCCCTAGAAGTTCTAAAAATTTTCCTGAAAAAAATCTGCACTGAATGGCGGAGGAGTTTTCTGGAATATCCTCTGAACTTAACTTGGAAAATCTTCAAACTTCAAACTAAGAAGGGTTTTCGACTGTGTTTGTTCCTAAAAGTCGCTTAAACGTCGTATGTATTTTCTTTAGTAATCCTCCAAACATTCCTGGAAAATCTTATAAACTTTACTCCTCCGTATTTCTATTGGAAGTCCTCCGAACGTGACTTAGCAAACCTTCGAACTCGCCACGAAAACGACCTGACCTGATTAATAATTCCATTTGTTACTAGAAGTCGTCTAAACTCCCCGGGGACAACGTCAATACTCCAAAAGTTCTCCATAGTATCCTTAGAAAATCTTCTGAATTACACTTAGAAGACCTTCGAGCTGCCCTTAAACGTTCTCAAAGTTCCTTGTTGAAATTCCTCTAGCAAATCGTCCGAAAACTTCGTTTAGATGCATCTTTTGAACTTTACTAAGAAAATCATTGACGCTTGAATTTTCCGCTGCAAGTCGTCTAAGTTTTCCTAGAAACCTCGTTTTCTTTCCATAGAAGCTCTGCAAATTTTCCATCAAAAATTTACTCAACTTCACTAAGGAAACCCTCAAGCTTCCTTTAGAAATACTCCAAATTTCTCCGGGACATTGCCTGATTCACTTAGATGACCTCCAAACTTATTTGGAACATAATTGGAACTTCAATAACATGATCTTTGGCACGAAGTTTCCCTCTGAAGTGGTTAAGATTTCCCAGAAAATTTCTCCGAATTTACGAATTTGAATTTCTCCAGGAAATCCTTCAAGCCTCACTAAGGGATCATCCATAAATGACGTAGTATATTTTTGATCATCTTTAGATCCCCCTATACCTAATACATGGTCGGTCACTACTACTAAGATAATTTCCCTGGCAATTTCAAACATACCTTCAAGCTTCCCCTAGAAGTTCTCCCGATTGCACTGGAAAATCCCTCACTTCGAAAACCTTCGAGCTTCCTCCTAAGAAGACGTCCTCAACATTTAGCTCGGAATCGTCACTTATTTCGGGATGACTAGAAGTCACCGAGAAAAATCGTGAATTTCGATGGCAAATCGGGGGAAACTCTACTTCGAAAGCAATCAAATTTTGGACCTTGAAAAACTTTCAAGACCCGTGGATTGGACTAGATTTTCAAGATACAGTCGCTTCCAGGAACTATTTACAGAATTGTATTCCTATTGGAAATTTGAGGAGACGTTAGAACTAATTCTAGGGATAACACCAAGGTACTTCGAAAAGAATTTCCAAAGGAGTTTTGAGGCGAACTCTAGGATGTTTTATTCATATAAGCCGTCCAAAAGAGTGTTGGCTAGAACTCCAAGTCAATTGTTTGAGTTCAGAGTTCAAGTAGCTCTGTGGAAAATTTCATGAAGACTGTTAAGAGAATTTCATGAACCGTGAAAAATATGAGTGTTGGTACAGTTCCAGAGTGAATTATCAGAAGAATTTCCAGAAGAACTTCAAGTTAATTTTGAATAACATTGACTTAGATAACCTTTAAATTTCTCCTGGATGTCCTTCAATTGTTTGTGGAAAATAATCAGAACTTCACTAACAATATCTTTGGCACGAAGTTTCCTACTGAAGTCGTCAATATTTCCCCGAACATTTATTCGAATTTGCCTGATGAGGTCCGTCGAATTTCTTCAGGAAATTCGCTGAACCTCACTAAGATCATTAACTCGTATTTTCCATAGAAGTCTTCCGTTCATTTCCCTCACAATTTCAAAAATACCTTCAACTTTCTCCTAGCGGTTGACCCCCCGAGCTTCCCTTGGAAGTCCTCAAACTTTTGCTGGGAATCGTCACTTACTCATGCTTACTGAGGTAACCTTCGAACTTCCCATCTTCACAAAGAAATTATCGAAAGAGTTTCGTACAGTAGTGTTCCGATTTTGGCAACTATTCAGTAATTCTAAGCCAGACCCACGTAGTGTTGAGGGTAGGTTTCAAAGGACTTCAAAGTAGCTACTCGGAATTTTCTTGAACAATAGCTCTGATGACTAGTCCATCGAAAAAGTCCAGTGCATTTCGATGAAGCCCGGTGAACTTCGGGATGGGTCTGGAGACCTCCAAATTCCTGGAAGTTTACCAAATTTCTTCGGGAAATTCTCCAAACTTCCCTTAGAAGAGCTTCAAATTTCCTCTAGATGGCCTCTTAATTTTTCTGAAAAATCCTCATAGCATCACTAAGAAGATGAAGCCTGGTGAACTTCAGGAAAGGTCTGGAGACCTTCAAAATCCTGGAAGTTAACCAAATTTCTTCAAGAAATTCTCCAAACTTACCTCAGAAGAGCTTCAAATTTCCCCTAGCTGTCCTCCTAATTTTTATGGAAAATCCTTGGAACTTCACTAAAAATATCGTTGGCACTAAAGTCGTCAAGATTTCTTCTAAAATTTCTTCGAATTAGCGTGATGAGATCCTTCGAATTTCTCCAGGAAATCCTCTAAACCTCACTAAGATCATTAACTCGTATTTTCCATAGAAGTCGTTTGTTCATTTCCCTGGCAATTTCAAAAATACCTTCAAGTTTCTCCTAGCAGCTCACCAAATTTCACTGGGAAATCCCTGGAATTTGCCTTCGAAAACCTTTGAGCTTTCCTTGGAAGTCCTCCAAATTTTGCTGGGAATCGTCACTTACTCATGCTTACTGAGGTAACCTTCGAACTTCCCATCTTCCCAAAGAAATTATCGAAAGAGTTTCGTACAGCAGTGTTCCGATTTTGGCAACTATTTAGTAATTCTAAACCAGACCCACGTAGTTTTGAGGGTAGGTTTCAAAGGGCTTCAAAGTAGTTACTCGGAATTTTCTTTAACAACAGCCCTGAAGACTAGTCCATCGAAAAAGTCCAGTGCATTTCGATGAAGCCCGGTGAACTTCGGGAAAGGTCTGGAGACCTCCAAATTCCCTCTCTGGAAGGTCACCAAATTTGTTCGAGAAAAGATTCAAATTTGCCCTTCTAATTTTTCTGGAAACTCATCGGAGCACTGGTGAACTTTGGGAAAGGTCTGGAGACCTTCAAATTCCAGGAAGTTCACCAAATTTCTTCGGAAAATTCTCCAAACTTCCCTTCAAATTTCCTCTAGATGGCCTCCTAATTTTTATGGAAAATCCTTGGAACTCAACTAAGAAGATCTTTTTGGCTCGATTGGTTCCTAGAAGTCGACCAAATTTCAAGGAAAAGTCATTAGAATTTCCGTGATAAGTTCATTGATTTATCTAACGAACTCCTCTGAACCTCACTAAGAAGATCATTGACTCGTCTGTTCTTTCCTTGGAAGTAAATTCTCCTGGAGTTCTCAATGGGAAATCCCCGAAACTTCGAAAAACTTCGAACTTCCCTTGGAAGTCCTCCACCTGTTGCGCCCGCTTTCTAAGATAACCTTCGAATTTCCCATAGAAATTATCGAAAGTTTCGTACAGCAGTGTCCCGATTTTGGCAACTATCCAGCTATTCTGAGCCACGGAGTTTTGAGGTGGGTTTCAAAGTTGAAGTCCTGAGGCTACTCGGAATTTTCTTGAACAAACTACAGGACTTCACGGCAAATGGATCTGAATCATATTTGAGTATCGTTCACTCGTATTTGAAGGTGGACTTTTTAAAACAGGTCTGAAGAAACTTTAGCTTTGGCTATCCAAAGAGAATACACTCGATTAAGAGACGCCATCAATTCAGATACACGACCGCTGAATCTGACTCAAATTTGAGCTCCTCCGTTTACCAATTTTTTTTTGACGAAGTCAAGGTTGAGTAAACTCTGATCGAATTTGAGAAAATGTCACTTACATCGAGCT